TTCAAATTCCTTGGGCCTTCCCAAATCAATTCTTTTTTGGCTCCATTCTGTTTGCTAAATAGCATTGCCAGATAACTTGTACTACACACTCAGTTCGCTCTGTCTGGCCAAAGTCTGCCACGACTGGAGTACATGTGGAAATGGCAGAACTCCCCACCCCAGAGGCTTAGACTGGAATCCAAACTTGTCCCTGCTCCCCTCTGCCATCTGATTAAAAGGACATTTTGAGAGTACAAGACTACATTTTAACTGACCTCCCTGACTGTGTCAGAGCTTAATAGTACCAGCACCACCTGGATATTCACATACCGCCCTGTTTCCTCCAACACTTTCCCCTGAACTTTTCCCACGTGGCAGCCAGCCCACTTGGGGCCATGCAGTCGGCTACCATTAAATGGAAGCTTTTAGCACCAGTTCCAACTGCAGGGTGAGTCAGCTCCCTGACGCCAAAGTAGCCTCCCTGTCATCTTAAAAGCTGGAACCAGGGAAGGTGTTTCAAAAGCCAGAGGGCAATCCCAGGCCCACACCCTGGACCGCCTAGGATTAGGTGCGTGGCAGGTGCCACTCCAGGGCATCAGCCAGATCCAACTCTTAGCCAGGTGAGTGTGAGTGACCCTGCACTCCCAGGCCATCTTCCATACCTCACCTTTTCTTCAGTCATTATAAAAGTCAAGCTCTAAAATACATTCTGCAGAGGATGAGGGGAGAGAACGGAGTGCTAGCAGCTGAGTGGCTTCCCCTACCCCTGTTACAAGAGGGCAGAGTATACTTGCCTCTCACACATGTTTACATAGTCTTTTTTCTAGATAACAACTAAGTTTGAGTTTGATTCCTTTTATTTTTGGTAAGTGTGTTATTCAATTTTAAAAACTGTTAGTCTTAGCCAGATCCTAAGAGGTAAGCAATTAAGAGTAATGGAACAAAATAACAGATGGCTACTTTGGGGCTTCCATTATTGGCCTTTAAAAAGAAAAAAAAGATCCACTTTAAGAAAAACCAGGCAGGGTGCGGTGGTTCACACCTGTAATCCCAGCATTTTGGGAGGCCCAGGCAGGCAGATCACTTGAGGTCAGGAGTTCGAGACCAGCCTGGCAAACATGGTAAAACTCTGTCTCTACTAAAAATACAAAAACTGTCCAGGCATGGTGGCTCACACCTGTAGTCCCAGCTACTTAGGAGGCTGACACAGGAGAATTGCTTGAATCCGGGAGGCGGAGGATGTGGTGAGCCAAGTTCATGCCACTGTACTCCAGCCTGGGTGACAGAGTTAGACTCTGTCTCAAAAAAAACAAGAAGACTTTCAAATAATTAACTTATGTAATACAGCCCAAGCCAAAGGTCAGGGTTTAAACACTGGGGCCCCTGCAATAGTGATGTTTCAGTGAACACGAAAACTTTAAGTGAGGCATTTCTTCTTGCTGTAATGAGATTTGGCATAACCTTCAAGAGATCTTACCCTTCCAGTACAGCAGAGGGTGATGAGGTTACCCAGGCCCCCTTTAGAAACTGGGAGAGGGAACTATGACCCAGAACTGTAATTGCTCAAGAATTTGCTCAAAGACCAGAACAATGCTTCTACATCCCTCTAGGAGGGCACTCACGGCCGTCTCACGTAAAAACTGTTGCATAACCTGACAGGGGTCCCTAGAAGTCAGAGCAAAGGGCTTCCAAGCAGAAGTGAGACACACATCCCCTCTGATTTGGGCCAACTCCTGCTTCATTCCTAGAAGAATTCAATTCTACTCACTTTGAGGGCCTACAGCTGTTCTGGACACAGATTTTTTTGGAGTATGCATGTACAGGATCCTCAGGACTGTCACTCTTCCCATGCCCAGTGGTCAGCCTTGGAGAGGCAAGAAGGGCAACATATCATTCCCTAAAGTGACACTGCAATGTAGAAAAAACCCAGCCAGGCAGGGCGCAGTGGCTCACATCTGTAATCCCAGCACTTTGGGAGGCCAAGGCAGGCAGATCACCTGAGGTCAGGAGTTCAAGACCAGCCTGACCAACATGGAGAAACCCCATCTCTACTAAAAATACAAAATTAGCCGGGCATGGTGGCGCATGCCTGTAATCCCAGCTGCTTGGGAGGTTGAGGCAGGAGAATCACTTGAACCCGAGAGGTGGCGGTTGCAGGGAGCCAAGATTGCGCCATTGCACTCCAGTCTGGGCAACAAGAGCCAAACTCCATCTCAAAAAACAAACAAACAAAAAACCCCAAACCAACCAGACTGGGGTGGGTGTTTCTTAGAAGGTAGAGAGCCACACAGATTGGTGTATTCCTTTCCATTGTTCCTTCCCCCATTTCATAAAGGATCCCTACCCCATAACAGGAAAGGGCACAGAAGTGACACAGAGCAGCTACGGGTAAATATTTGCTGGAGGAGGTGTAACGCAGGAGGTACTAGAATCTGGCCCTGACTGAGACACTAAAGCAGCTGGTATTAGGTGAGCCACCCTTTTCCCTCAACCCCGCCTGGCCCTGGAGGAAGGGAGCTGGGAGGTAAGAGAATGATATATGGCAGCAAGACTTGGAGGTTCTGTGGAGTCCGGGTTTCTGCACAGAACCTAAATGCTACCCCAGCCTCACCCTGTGGGCAAGGGACATTAACCACAAGCACAGCCCACACCCTAACTCTCGGGAGGGAGTGGAACCTAGCTCGCAAAAGGAGTCACCTGGGGAGTGGCGGAAGACGGGAGGTGAGGAAAAAGGTCCTCCACCCCTATCACCTGAGAAAAAAGGTTAAGGGGCTCATTTTCTCCAGCACCTTCAGCTGCAGAAGACAAAGCCCAGACATTCTCAAAACAACACTGTGGCCCTTGCTCCCTCCAACTTTCCAGGTCTCCTGGCAACTCTTCACCTTTTCCAACCTGGCACTGCCTCGGGCAGCAAATTATTGTTAAGACTCCAGAACAGATCTCTCCTTCCTGTCAAAAAGAGCATTTATGGCAGCTATCGCAACATGTCCACCCTGCAGTAGGTGGGGCCACAGATAAGGACACCACTCCCACCAAGCCACTGCCACCCCCCTCAGTTACTACGGAAGAGAAAATTCAAGCAATGCTTGTAATGGGCCCAAGGCTATGCCCGGCCCCACCTTAGGCTGCCTTGGAACAGCAGCTCCTTCCACCCTTTCCCCTCCATCCAGGGCTACACTGCCTGTGCGGAGCTCTTGGGCACCAACTCACGCCCTTGAGAGGCTTCCAATCACTCCCCACTCTGCCAGCTCACCACTCAAAACCGTGTATTCTGTTCCTGAAAAATCTCCACCAAATCCACTCTCCCAAACTTTCAGGGCCCTTTCCAAAGTCCCAACTCTACACATGTCCCTCTTTATTAACAGAATCACCACAGGGACCCCTCGGATCCCTTTGCATTTTGCAGATAACAAAACTGCATGGAGAGTTCAAGGGTCTTGTCCAAGGCCACAGAGCTAATCAGTAACAAATCTGGAAAGAAAATCCAGATCTCCAGATCCCATGAAATGCCTCCAACTTCAAGTACCTCCCACCCACTTCACATACAAAACTCCTGAGCAACCCCTTCCCCACACACACCCACTCACAACACTGCTTTCTTTAGCTCTTCCTGCACACACTCGGAGCTCCCCCCTCAACCACACTGGATTATTCCCCCGACACACACACACACACACATAGACACCGACACCTCGCTCGAGGATCCCACTCCATTCTGATCACCTTTTCACGGCTGCAAGCCCTCCCAATTTGCTTCCCCCCGCCCCAACAGGGCCACTTGAACACAGTCTCTGCTTCAGGATCCTTTCACCTGCCCCGCTCTCTCCAAAAAAGACACAATTCTTCCTGGACACTCTCACCGCTTCCTCCCAAACTCCTTATTCTCCCTGCTCTCCAGTCCCAGGACTGCACCTCCAGGAGCCAGTGCGCCCTTCCTAGATTCCTTTCTCAGTCTATCCACCACGCGTTCCCTTTCTAATGAGACTTTCATTTTCCTAAACGAACCTCCCTACCATTATCCACCATTCCAGCTCACACTCCCTCCCAACGATCTCACCTTCTTCCTCTACACTTCCTCATTCTCTCCAACGATTTAGCGTTTCAGCTTCCCATCAAAATTCTTCAGGAAACCCCTCCCCAAATTATCCCCACTCTCCGTATCCCCACCCCCACTTCGGCTTCTCCATCCCTCATCAATTCCTTTTCTTCCTCCATCTCTCAGCCTTCTCCTCTTCCTTTTGGAACAGGGCATCCCAAACAAATCTCACCCCCTTCAACAACGTCTCATTCTCGGGCCCCTTAACTTATTCCGTCCGCACCATACCCTCCTCAGACCCCCAGTACCGCCACCTCTACCCTCCTCACATCCTCAGCCCATGTATTTTCACGCCCAATTCTGCCCTTAGCCCCTCTGTTTTCATCTTCCCAGCCTCCCTAGTCCTCCCACCCGTCTTTAGACCCCACAATCTCCATTCCAGCTTCTCACTTGATTCTTCAACCCCTTTAGAACTCCCCCAACCTGAGGCTCCCCCAGTTCCAATTTCCTTCAGATCTTTCTGCTCTCCAAATAACCCCTCCACACTCAAGCTCCTCCTCATACTTCCCAGACCCACAAATTCCCTTCCCAGCCTCCCCAAGTTCTCCCCCCAGCACCTCCAACCCATGCTCCGACCCCTCCAGCCCGCCTGAGATCCCAGCTCCATTTCAGCCTGCCCAATCATCTTCTCGGTTTCACCTAATGGCCCGCCCAGACCCTCCAGATCCTTCATCAGCCTTCCTGATTCCTTTTTTTTCATTCCAATATTCCCCACCCGGCCGCCAATTCTCTTAGATTCCCAATTCCTCCCTCGAGCTCGGCGATTCTTTCTCAGGACTCCAATTCCCTCCCCGGACCCGCCAATTCCTTCTCGGGACCCCCTGTTCCCACTGCAGACGCTCCAAAACCCTTTCAGGACCTCCCACCCCTCCCCAGGCCCCCTCGGAAAAGCCCCTCCAGCCCATCCGGCCCGCGGGCCGCGCACCTTGCGCTGCTGCTTCTCCCAGGCCGGGTCCAGCAGCAGGTCCCGGTCCCAGTCGTCCTCCTGAGCCATGTAGTCGCCCATGCTGCCCCCGCCGCCAGCGCCATTGCCCGCGCTGCTGGGGCCGTACTGGTATGACTGGTTCGCCGCGTGGTAGTCCACCATGCCGCCGCCTCAAACTCGCCCACCAGCCGGTCCGCTCCCGCCTCAGCTCCCGCCCCTCTGCCCGAGCCGCCGCCGCTGCCGCCGCTTCAGCTGCTTCAGCCCGCCCTCCGCCCGCGCCTGCGCACTGCCCTCCGCGCCTGCGCACAGAGCCCAGGTTGCCGCCCTCTCGAGCGCGCGCGCCTGCTGAACCAGAAAAGGCACCAAGGTCGCGCTCCGAAGCTTAGCGCCTGCGCAGAGTCCACCTTCCTCCGCCGCCCAACTTTGCTCGGGTGCGAGCCGCGCCCCCTCTCCCGCGTGAACGCGCGCGTCGTTCACATGTGGGCGGAGCCAGTTATGAATGATTCATAAGGGAGGTCCCTGCCATCGGGCCTGAACCAACTCAGGTTTGGAATGCACGGCTCCGGGTTCCCATTCAGCGACACAAATTCAACAAGTATTTATTGAACACCTATTGTGTGTTCAACAATCTTGTGGAGCCACCGCTCCCAGACAACACACAAAATTTTAAGAAATATGTAGGCTGCCGGGCGCAGTGGCTCAAGCCTGTAATCCCAGCACTTTGGGAGGCCGAGGCGGGTGGATCACGAGGTCAAGAGATCAAGACCATCCTGGCCAACATGGTGAAACCCCGTCTCTACTAAAAATACAAAAATTAGCTGGGCATGGTGGCGCGTGCCTGTAATCCCAGCTACTCAGGAGGCTGAGGCAGGAGAATTGCCTGAACCCAGGAGGCGGAGGTTGCGGTGAGCCGAGATCGCACCATTGCACTCCAGCCTGGGTAACAAGAGCGAAACTCTGTCTCAAAAAAAAAAAAAAAAAAAAAAAGAGAAATATGTAGACAGGCCAGGCATGGTGGCTCACACCTGTAATCCCAGCACTCTAGGAGGCTGAGGCGGGAGGATTGCTTGAGCCCAAGAGTTCAAGACCAAACTGAGCAACATATCAAGATCCTGTCTCTACAAAAATTTTAAATATTCACTGGATGTGGCGGTGTGCACCTGTAGTTCCAGCTACTCAGAAGGCTGAGGCAGGGAGGTCACTTGAGCCCAAGGGTTCCAGGCTGCAGTGAGCTGTGATCACACCACTGCACTCCAGGAGCAGGATCCTGTCTCAATAATATACATAAAAGTAAAAAATAGATGGTATTGTATTGTCCAAGGTGATGAGTATTATGGAGAAAAATCAAGCATAAGCTGGAATGTATAAAGAACTCAGGTAGGCCTCATGGAAAAGGCAGACATTTGAACAAAGGTTTGAGCCACTGCATCAGGTAATATCTTAAATTTAAATATTCAGCCAGGCACTGGTGGCTCACTCTTATAATCCCAGCATTTGGGGAAGTCAAGGCTGGAAGACTGCTTGAGCCCAGGAGTTTGAGGCCAGACTGGGTAGCATTCCACATCTACAAAAAAATTAGCCAGGCGTGGTGGTGCACGCTTGTAATCCCAGCTATTTGGGAGGCTGAGGCAAAATGAACCTGGGATGTGGAGGTTGCAGTGAGCAGAGATTGAGTCATTGCACTCCAGCCTGAGCAATAAGAGCAAAATTCCATCTCAAAAAAAACAAAAAAAATGAAAAAAGAAAAAAAAGACCAGGCGCAGTGGCTCATGCCAGTAATCCCAGCATTTGGTAGGCTGAGGCAGGTGGATAATGAGATCAGGAGTTCAAGACCAGCCTGACCAATATGGTGAAACCCCATCTCTACTAAAAATAAAAATAAAAATAACTAACTGGGGGTGGTGGTATGTGCCTGTAGTCCCAGCTACTAAGGAGGCTGAGGCAGGAGAATTGCTTGAACCCATGAGGTGGAGGTTGCAGTGAGCCAAGCTTGTGCCACTGCACTCCAGACTGGGCAGTAAAGGGAGACTTTGTCTTAAAAAAAATTTTTTTAAGACTTTGTCTTTAAAAAAATTAAATTAGCCAGGCGCGGTGGCTCAAGCCTGTAATCCCAGCACTCTGGGAGGCCGAGGCGGGTGGATCACGAGGTCAAGAGATCGAGACCATCCTGGCCAACATGGTGA